GGGAAGTCAGCCCAAGGGCTATGAAGAATGCGATATTTGAAGACAAAAATGAAACAATCCAAAAAAAGAGAAACAATTGAAGTTGTCTAATGAAACCAATGTAGATGCACAGAGAAATTCCAAAACCAATTTAGATTTTTAAAATATGTACAGGTATTAGCAACAAGGAGAGGTAGCAAAGAATGAATGAAAAAGTGTGACATGGTGCTGTAAAAATTCTTTCTGGAATGTTCAAGGTCAAAATGATCAGAAGCTGTTGACGAATGCTAATACATTTAAAAAGTTATTTCCCACTCCCCTCCTACCTCCCAGTAACATCATGAAGAACAAGAGGATTGAAGAAGTAAATAGAACTACTGGTTGGGGTAGATGAACTAATAATAACTGAGAACAGAAGGCATAGCTTCTTGATTTTTATCTTGCTTCTGTTTTAACCTCCAAGGAGAATGACCTTTGGACTGGAAGGAACAGAACAAAATTGGCTACCAAGATAAATAAGGAGATAGTAAGAGAACATGTTCTTGCCCTTAAATTCTAGTGATCTTTCCCAGATGAACTAAATCCTCAAGTACCCATAGATGTGATGGCTGAGTCTCTACATTAAAAAAAATTTGTGAAAAATTAAAAAGTTACCCCAGCATTGGAGAATTCATTGAAAATATCCTTATTTTCAAAAAAAAAAAAAAGGAAGAGAATAAAAACCAAAAATTCTAGGTCGCTGAATTTGACTCCTGGAAATAATTCTAGAATATGGTATAGTACTAAAGAGAGGATTAATGGACATCTAGAAAGGAAAGCAGTGATCACAAAGAACTAGGTCAAGAGCCAGATCAAGAGAATACTACAGACATATTGCCCCAAATTTTGACAAAGCGTTTGAGAAACTATTTCATTTTATTGTTATAAGAAAGATGAAGAAATATGGCTAGTATAATAGATAGTATTAGATGACAGATGATGGGGTCGAAAGAGTCAGACACGACTGAAAAAATAATAAAGCAACAGCAACTACTCTTTGGTCTCTCTGATGGCATCAGAGAAAGGGCCAGTGTGGAGGAAGATTGGCTTACAGGGAAATAAGGAAAAAAAACTTTTTGTAGTATGTTTTCTGATAAAGATCTTACTTCCAAAACATGTAAAGAACTAATGCAAACTCATAAGACTAAGAGCCTTTCCCCTATCAATATTCAAAAGATATACACTGGAAGTTTCCAAAGGAAGAAATCCAAGCTAACATCAGCCCTGATAAAAACTGGTCTAAATCATAAATCATTAGATAAATGCCAATTAAAACAATTTTGAAGTTCCACCGACACCTATTGGATTGGCAAATTTGACCCAAGCAAGGGAAAATGACAAAAGCTGGAGGAGCTGTGAACTATTGGAGGGGCTGTGAACTAAAAGTAATTTGGAGCTATGCCCCCACATTACTAAACTGTTCATATCCTTTGACCCAGCAATACCACTACAAGGTCCCAACTCCCAAAAAATCAAAGACGGAAAATTCCCATATGTACAAATATATTTATAGCAACTTGTTTTTATGGTGTCAAAGAATTGGAAACTAAAGGGGCCCATCAACTGGAGAATGGCTAAGCAAATTACGGTATATGAATGTGATGAAATAATATTGTGCTATGAGAAATTATGAAGGGGACTGCTTTAAAGAAACATTTTTTCCATTTACCTGGGAAGACTTGTATAAATTGATGCAGATGAAGTGAGCAAAAACAGAACAATTCATACAACAAGAATATTGTAAAAACAAAAAGCTTTGAAAGCCATAAAACCTCTTATCAACACAATGACCAACCACAATTCTAAGAGGACTCATAATCAAGCGTGCTACACAACTCTTGACAGAGACGATGGACTCTAGGCAGAGACCACACATGCATGTATATATACATATAAAATGGCCAACGTAGAATTTCATTTTACTTTAATATGCATATTTGTCAAAAGAGTTTTGTTTTTCATTCTTTTTCAATGGAAGTGAGGAGGTGGGAAGGAGAGGTGAATTTTCATTCATGAAAAAAAAATAATAAAATGAAACAAAATAAGAACCAGGAAACAGGCCATTGAACCAAGAAAAGTTAACTTTAAAAGGTAAGACAACTTCTACTCTCTTCCCATCTGTCAGGTATGTGGGAGCTTAGTAGAGGATCTTTCTTGTGCTTTCCATGAGGGGAAGGAGGAGTCTCTGCCCCATCAGTAATAGTAGCTATTTGTACATGGTGGCAGATCTATGCGCCATCTAGATGACCCTAAGACTAGAATCCTAGGTTCCTGACTTAGGTATTTTGCTTTATGTTTCTTCTTCTGAACCTAGGTAACTGAACAACAGTCCTAAAATGGGCATTACTAGCCTTGAAGTCAACCTTGTGAGTTTCAGAAGTTAAAAGTCAGTCAATAAACATTTATTAAGCACTTACTATGGGCTAAGGACCCTGACTGAGTTGGAGCTGACAGGCAACAGTGATTTTTTGTAGCTATACCCTTTTCTCAGAGAAGAGAATAATAGACAGAAAGATGAGCCCCAGCCATGGTCTTAACGTGTTTTGTCTATTAATTTTTTTCTCAAGGAGGAAGTAAATATCTGTCCTATAACTGGTCTACCTTGGATGATGTGTATCTTTCTGTGCCCTTTTGGATAGACCCTAGACATGAGTCAAACCTACACTTTCTTTAAATCATTTTCCCTGGGGCTCTGGATTTGAGGTATAAAGAGCCAGAGGCAGTGAGGAAAAAGAAAAAAAAAGGATTTGACCTTTCTCTTCAGAGGTCATGCTCTCTAAGGACTGAACCGAGGCTGAGTGTGAGGCCAGATGTAGGGATCCTTAATGGTTAAGAGTTCCCCAGTCCCCCTCAGGCAATGCCTAGGTATTATTTGAGTAGCATAATTGCCCCATCCTTGAAATTTCTGAATAAAGGCAAAAAAGCACCTCTGTGCTCACACTTCAAGTACCATCTCCCCCAAGCAAAATGAGTATAAAGCCTCCAGAGTCCTCCTTTCCCCAGTGCCATCATTTCTCTCTGGCTTGTCTTCTTTCCTTCTGTGAGAGATGATCTCTGAGAGGTGAAGCCTCCTCAGGGGTCAATGGTTCTTGTTAATAGTTCTTGCTTGTTGCTTTCAATACCCTCCCTCCTCAGACCCTGTTTTTAAGTACTTAGCAGAAAGAATAGCCCTGCCCCCAACCTGAACTGCTTGCCCTTGGAAAGTTTCCCGCCTTTTCTTGTCTCTGGACAAACTTTCGTCTCCGTGAATAGATTGTACCCCCTGAAAGCCCAGCCAACGGGATAAGGGGAAGGGGGTTAGGGAGGAGGAGCTCGCATAGGGTGTAAATAAGCCTTTACTTCTGGAAGGAATTTGTACTCTTCTGGCCAGCCATGGAGACCAGGGGTGGTAACCCTTTCTCATGAGAAAGCAATAAACTCCTTTCTACTTTCAAGGTATCTAAGTCTTTGTTTTTATTTTTAAGTAAGTGGTCTCTGTCCCACACACTTCACTACAGCCTCTTCTAGTTACTAATTCTCACCTCACCCACACTTCCCTTAAGCTGAAACTATTCTAAATCAGTAGGGAAAATAAGATAAGGCTAAATATAAAATTGGTTTTTTTTTTGGGGGGGAGAAGGCAATTGGGGTTAAGTGATTTGCGCAAGATCAACAGCTAGTAAGTATTTGAAGCTCAGATTTGAATTCAGGTCTTCTTGACTCCAGGACCTGTACTGTGTACACTATGACCCCTAGCAGCCCCAGATAACATTGATTCAATTAATGACACTATAGGTGGGGGTATTCCTGTACTACAAGTCTTAATTTATTTCATTTGGAAATTGAAAAAAAATCTTTTTGTCTTCTACTTGGATTTTGAACCCTGATTTGAAGGCATTTAGTCATTCTCAATGGCTATTTTCTAACCTATATAAGGGCTCTTCCATTCTTCTGTTCTGTCCTATCTATGAGTTAAGGAACTTCCCTATTGAGAATATTCATTAATCACTCATGCACGTGTGTGTCATCTTGTGATTACCATTTTCTCATTGAAGCATTTCCTACATTTATTCAGTGATAACAAACACCTCCTCCTACTGAGGAAGTTAAAGTAGAGCTTAACATCATTGCAGTTGCAGAGCAGAGGTGAGAAGGATTGGAGGAGCCATACTGGGAAAGTAGGATAACTAACAATAAATGTTAGTTTTAGTCCAAAAAGAAGGTCTCAAGACTTTAGTGGGGGATATTCAATGCATTTGCCGGCCAGATAGCCAAATTAGCAGCATCTGTCAGTGCCATCTAGAGTGCCCAGATGGAACTTAAATGCACTCTCTCTATGCACCTGTTTTTCTGTTTATAAAACAAGACCAAGAGAAAATCTTCCCACTGTATTTGGTTAGTGAAAACCTACGTGACCCTTAGCAAGAGGCATGCAATTCATGCGTAGTATGTATGGGAATCAACTGCACTTGTGTACAGGAAGAAAGTTTTCAGCCATCCCCTCCCAGTAATTAGACTCCAATTTTGACTTATCTTCCAAATAGCTGTTTATAGGATGATCTACAATCTTATGGTATCTATATTTATGTTATCTATATTCTTTTGAGCAAGCAGTTTCAAATTGCAAAACATTTTGTGCCCCATCATTCAGGCCATGTCAAAAAGTGATGGTACATGTAAGATTGCTCATATATCCTGCAATTCTAATACAGAAAATAAAGTATTCATAGCAATATCAGGGATGCATGGTTTGCAACTAAGAGGTTTCCAAATGAAATTCTTCTGAAAAAAAATCATTATTGGACAAAAATCAAATGGTATCTCCAAGAATTATGGGAAAGGGTTAATATAAAACCCTATTTAAGCCATGAAGTAGAATGTCTGAATAGCGAGTCTTCAAGTATATATATGTCAAATGATTCTCTTATGTATGTAACAATCATAGATTCCTCCTAATTGGATGCTAAGAAAGCTTTCCCTTGGAAAAATAAATGTACCTTTACCTTGAACTTTTTCTGTCCAATTCAGTGCCCCTGATTCTCCCTTTTTCTCATTAAGCTCATTATCTACAAAGAGAGTAATTGGTGAGGTATGTGGAAAAGCAGATGATCTTCATTTTCAACTTGCTGCTCATTACAGCTTTCCAGTTTTTGTTTGAAATCACAGCCTCAATTCCCCCTGCTTTGGTTTCTTTGCACTGTCTCTCTTCATCTTTCAAAGATTCAAGAAGTCGCCTGTGAAATAACACCACAGAAGGTCTCTTTGTTTGCCTATTCATGAAAAGGAAGTAAAGACAGGCATTTAAAGCAATCTTCTTATCCATGAGAAGAGAAAGAAAGGTTTAATGGTTATATACTTTTTGCAAACCAAATTGTGTGTGAGGTATAATGAAGAAGGAAACAGTCTTCTCAAAATAAAAACTGTCCTTTGTCTAAATGGCAATATTGGAATTACATAATCTCAGAGATTGATGGGGACCTATCTGGTAGCTATCTGATAGTCCAGCTCATGTCTGAAGGAGCATTCCCTCTGCAATATAAGCAGCAGGTGTTCACCTAGCCTAGGCTTGAAGAGAGCAATCACATCTCTCGAGTATGGTAATTAGCTTCTGTCTTACTCTTATCACATCTGAAGTGTTTCATTCAGTTCTGGAAGCTACATTTTAGGAAGGAAATAGTCAAGCTAGACATTGCACCCAGAGGCAGGCAAGCAGGATGGTGAAAAGTGTCCAGTGAGAATTGGTTGAAGAAGAGCAGACCCAGTGCGGACCTGAGAAATACAAGTACATGAAGTGTGGAAGAGAAATTAGGCTTGGTCAGATTGGCCTTAGAGGGCAAAATTGGGAGAAATGGTCTACAACAAGATCTAAAGAATGTCTTCCACATGACTAAAGATATGCAAAAGTCAAATAGGTGGTGGATTCTCTCTCCTTCCAAGATCTTCTAGGGAAAAATAACTATTTATTCCAGATGTTGTCCATAGGTTTATTTGGGTTTATTTTCAATTAGCCTGGCTCTGGAGGACTTTTCCTCTCTATGACCTTGGGCAAGTGACTTAACCTCTGTTTTCTAGGTTGTAAAATGAAGATACAAATAATACCTACCCTCAGGCTTGTTGTGAGCATTAAATAAGATAGTATTTGTAAAGCACTAAGCACAGAGCCTAGTCTGTGTTGTTGTTCAGTCACATCTGACTCTTACCGACCCCGTAGACCATTGTTTGTGGACTTTTTTTGACAAAGATACTTGGAGTGGTTTGCCATTTCCTTCTCTAGTGGATTAAGGCAAACAAAGGTTCAGTGACTTGTTCTGGGTCACACAGCTAATGAATGTCAGAAGACAGATTTGAACTCAGGTCTTCCTGACTCCAGGCCCAGCACTCTATCCACTAAGCCATCTAGCTACCTCTGCCTAGCATATACTAGATGATATATTAAAAAAAAAAAAAGACTGGAATTTAAGAATACCTCAAAGGGTCAATCAAATTTTGCATGAATTGACAAGCTTGCACAGGTAGTAGCAATAGATGCCGCTCACTGCCAAAAACTCAAGGACAACAGCTAGAAGGCTTGATCCCAGTGACTGCTGGATTCAGTAGAAATGCCACCAAGGAGACATAGATCAATCAGCTGTACTAGAGGCAACATCTTCTGGGAGCTAGCTGCAGAGCATGAATATTACTTAGGAAGGCTATTCTGAGGGAAAATAGCACATAGGCTGGTGTTGGGCATCATTATTTCCCAAGAGTTGTTGGGAGTCCTTATTGTTTTATTTGACTTGTAAATAAGTCTTTTCTTTGAGTCTTGAGACCCAAGTGCTTATAAGGGGAGCTGTTAGCTACAAATTGTTGTTAGTGAATTTCTCAAATTTGTCTAGGTGAGGACAAGGAACTCTTTGCACCCTTCACACCTGAAGAGAGCCTCTGACACCTACATAACAATAGTGAATCTTATTTTAAGTACTTGGAAGGTTGGTGAGATACTTGGGTAAAATAGTAGAGCGAGTTATTACACTAGGAATCAAGATGACCCAAATTCAAATTCTGCCTTAGGCAATTAATAGCCATGCTGTCCTAGTGAAGTCACTTAAATCTCTCTCACAGATGATAATAGCACCTACCTCACATTACTCTTATGAGGATCAAATGAGATAGCCTCAGGGTAAGAGCTTTGCAAACCTGAATAGGTAGAATAAGCTATCAAAGAATGCCCTGTAATCTCTTCTCTTAGGAGCCCTGGAAAGCTAATAGTAGAAATAGGTAAAGTCCCAATAGATGGTGCTAGCTGGCTGGGTCAAGGACTGGCTGCCCAAATTAGACCTCCCGGGAGGAGGTGACAATGACCTCTGCTTTCTAATCCCAGACTGAGACACCACAGGTACTATGAGAGACATTAACCAGTGGCATTATATTCTAGATGAGGCCTTCCTTTGATCCTTCCCAATCTGAAGATCCTAGCAGGAAGCAGAAACAAACTAGAGACGACAGGTAGCTTTCGGTGCTTAGATAAGGGAAGGCAATAGAGCAGGAAAAACAGCAGTGACTGGCCCTGGGGATGACATAAGAATGAGAGTGGAAGGAGCAAGGAGCAACGTGGCATTTGTGGAGAACACCAGGCCAACAGCATTCCCATAGCCCATCTGCAGCAGTTGGCATCTGCTGGCCCAAAGCCCAAGACCTTCTTGAGTTTCTCATGGTTGGGGATCACTTACATCACTCGAAGCCCTAATTCCTTTCTTCTGGGTGTTATCTCCTCTAAATAAGTTTTGGGATTTGATTCCTCCTCTTGCCATCCCGTCATTGTGCAACATGGTTACACAAGCTCTTTTTAAAATTTTTCATTTTTAATTCATGGAATAAAACAAGCATTTCCATAACATAGTACAATAAAAAAGATGATTGCACACGAAACAGAGACTCTACTATGCACACCTTGCTATTCCTTTCAAATATGCAACAAAATTATCATGTAAATTTCTTTTTTTTCTTCCCTCCCTCCCATCCCTTGCCCTAGAAATGGCTGCCATTAGACAAATAAGTACACACACACACACACACACACACATATATATATAATGTATATGTATATATAATATATAATGTGTATATGTGTACATATATGTATATGTGTGCACATATTTATATATGTGTGTATATAAATGTGTGTGTGTGTGTGTGTGTGTGTGTGTGTGTGTGTGTGTGTATCTACCATACACATCTCCCTCCCCCTTGTCCTTGGTGGTCCTGGGATCTGGTCCTATTTTTACCTACTTTGTGGTTTCCTAGTTTGTTCCTTCATGGTTCCTGCTTTAGAGATCAAAATTGTGTTTGTGTGTGTATACACATAACACACATATACGTATGTATATTTGTGTGTCTATACATATTTACATGCATAAATGCACGTGTGTATTTATATGTATGTATGTAAATTCTATACATATTTCTATTTATCAGTTCTTTCTCTGGATGCAGTTAGTGTCTTTCTTTATATGTCCTTTATAGTAAATTTTGGTATTCATAATAGTCTAAACAACTTATTTGCTTAATGTGGTTCTTAAAACAATATTGCTGTTACTGTATACAATGTATATAGTATAAGTTCTGTTAGGAGCTGTTGTCAAGGAGATAGAGAACAGATAATTGAATTATGCTGGTAATTAACCATTTCTGAAGCTTATTGACACTACTGCAGTAGTAATAGTATGTAACTATTTGCATAAATTAGTTTGATTGTCCTAAGAAAGCTATCACTCCCTCGGTGGTTGGGGGTACTACTCCCTACCCTCTCACACGACACAACTATTTATTACCCATAGGGTTAGATTTCCCCATAGGCAAATTTCCACAGTGACTTAATCAATGAAATTCTAACCTTATTCCTGTGACTCCAAAACCAAACAAAGAAAAGTCAATTCTCTGTGGAGCTCTTCACTCACTCAAAGAACACAAAAAATACATTCCCCTAAAACACAATTTTCATCCCTAAAGCAGGACCCATGAAGGAACAAACTAGGAACCCACAAAGTAGGTAAAAAGAGGACCAGATCCCAGGACCACCAAGGACAAGGGGGAGGGAGATGTGGACTGTGGCAAAAATTTCAGTGGGAGTACACACTCAGAGTAGGGATCTGAGCAGGAAGGTTTCATATCTTAAAAATTGGCTTGGTTGAGAACAGGTAATCTCTGCCATATGTCGAAGGGGGCATTCCTAATGAGACCCAGATAGGACAGGGAAATTCCCTGAGTTACTTATCGATAACCAGATTTGAGTGGAGAGAGTTTCCTTATTGGAATTGGACATTGGTGAAGAGTTTAAAGTTGGCAATCAGCGACTACAGGCATAAGGGTGGTTTGCTGCCTCTATGGTCAGTCAGGTGTCTTATCCAGTCAGGAGCTGTGATTATTTAAATGCCTGACACAGGGTCAGACCAAGTCAGGACAGTGGAAAAGTAGAAACTGTCATTGCTTACGTGTTTACGGTCACCAAGACCACTTAGCCTAAGCGACTCCATATTAGACTCCTATCATAACTAAAATATCAAATAGTATATTTCAAAAATCAAAATGATCACAATCCACGCTGTGGTCCTAATGACCATCTAACAGCTGACTAATGATTACATCTTAGCTATAGTGCCTGGAGGTATGGAGGAGTTGTAAGAGAAACAGTAGCAATAAGAACACAATAATAAAAATAATCTCTAGTAGACTAATAGCCCAGCTGTCCCGACCCCTCAGGCAGAATCCAAGAAAAGAAGTCCTCGACCTGGGAAGGCACTTGGGCTAGGAGGAGACAGAGAAGAGATCTTTTGAAAATTCTTATTCAGATTGTCAATTTGTTCCACTCAGAAAAACATCAATTTGTACCTTGTGAATTGTCCACTTGCAAGCCACAGGCATACAGATCAGGTGAGGGCAAATGGATGTAATTAGCCGGGGTAATCACTTCCATACTGTGATTTTCCCCATTGCAGTTTTGATATATTGCATGTTGGCATATGAAATGAAATGGGAATTTGGGGGGAGTTTTGTGGAAACCTCAGATGACACACGCAGGCCAGCAGACAACACAGAAAAAGTTTAGTAACTCAAAAATGCATAAAATATATGTATAGTATTATATAACAGCAACATATGTTATCTTTTAATACCATAATTTAATACCATGATTCAATACCATAATTTAATACCATAATTCAGACTTCTCTGGTACAAAGGAAAGGCCAAAAAATTG